AAAAAAAAAAAAAAAAAAAAAAAACACCAACACATACGAATAATTATTGTACAAAACGCCCTCACAGGGTCACAAAAAAAGCATTTAAATTCGTTCTCAGAAAATTAGCTGGCAATATTAAAGTTTTTTTTTTTTTTCAAATATTTATTTTTGTTATTTTTTCATTTTTTCATCGTCTTGCTCGATTTTCAGCGATCTGAGCCAAGGACTGAAGGTTGCACCTGACGATGGTGTCCACGAACACGCACGTCTCCTCCTTCGTGTTCCCCTCCGGCACGTCGACGACGTACGACTCCACCACAACCGTGCCGGCGCCGCCGGGCGCCGCGTGGAGCGTGGTGACGGATCGGTAGTTGGCCAGGCGGTGGTCTCCCCCGACGACGCTGAATCCTGTGACGTGGCGCTCGTCGTCGAGGATCTCGAGGCGCTCGGTGCTGCGGGCGGCGGGGAGGCCGGAGACGACGCGGACCTCACGGACGGTGCCGACGTCGCCGTCGCCGAGGACGAGGTGGCAGCTCTTGACGAAGTGCTTGTACGCCTGGGGGTTGTCGAAGCGTCGGAGGACGGGCCACGCGGCGGAGACGGGGGCTGAGATGAGCTGCGAGACGGCGGAGCAGCATTGGTCGGGGCCGACGGCGTGGGTGTGGTACCTGGCGACGTGGTCGGGGATCTCGGCGGCGGTCGGGTGGCGGTACGCCTGCTTGCATCCGGCGGCGCCGCCGCCGGATCTGCGGTGGAGGAAGAGAGTGGAATTCGGGTGATTTGCCGGCATCGTCATCGGATTAAATTTCGATTTTTTTTTTTTTCTTTGGTTTTGTGGATTTGTGATTTGTAGAGTGAAGGTGGGTGGGTAAACTTTATGAGCTTTGGGTGTTAAAATTGGTTTATATATTGGCTGTTTTAGATAGAGAGATGAGAGATGTGGGCCCCGTTGCTCAACTTCTTTTGAAGAGGCCAAGAGGGGGAATGGTCATGAGAGAGGAGAGAGGAGAGAGGAGAGATGGAGAGACGGTTGGATAATTGGATTTTCTAAGAGAGAGAGAGAGAGAGAAGAGGTTGTGACTTCTGAGGATTCATGTGAGGGCAATAAAATTAGGGGCTACTTGCATATGTGCAAGTTACTAAATGGACCTTGTGCATGTTAGACATGCCTTTTTTAAATAAGCAATGCTACACAATACAATTGTTGTAATCAATGGTAGTTTACAACACAATATTAATTAAAAGTATTATTAAGTTAAATTTTAATTATACGTTTATTTGCATATCAACCACCAACATTATGTCACACCATGTTGTACAAAAAAAAAATTGTACAAGTAACTTTTTCTTTGGAAGAGCATAGAATTGAATTGAGATATCAGACTAGGAATATAAACAAGTTGACCGAGTTTGAGCCCGAGTCCTTGACGAGCAAAAAAATCAAGTTTGAGTTCGGCTCGTTTACCATGATTAACAAGTCGACTTTGAGTCTTGACGAGACGATCTCGATCTTTAAAAAACCAAACTATAATAATAATTATATAGAAATTCTTTTGTCGAGTCTTAACGAGCCAATTCGAGCTCCGCTTGTTAACCAAACGAGCATTAATTGACTTTGAGCGCGACTCGCTAAGGTCTCTAGCTCGAGCTGAACTCGAACCTTAATGAGCTGAGCTCGAGCCGAAACAAGCCAGACTCGTTTAATTTAACAAGACTATATTTGAGTTTGTTACATTTTTTTTTAATATCGAAGCAAGTAATATTATTTAAACTAACTCAAAGTCAGTATGGTAGTCGGAAATCAAGTACTTACGAAAGAATGTTTTTAAATGTTAAGGGCATGATTGTTTATCATCCCTACAGTAATTTTTTTTACTCAAATTTAAATTTAACTCAACTTTAACTCAACCCCACTATCTCCAATATTATTATATAATTAAATAACATCAACAAATCATTATTACATATCACATCAACTTTAATTCACTATTCATCCACTCACATAATTCTAACTAATTTTGACTAACTATGTGAGTGGATGAATAGTGAATTAAAGTTGATTGCAGGGGAATTTGGTGTAGATTTGGTGTAGATTTGCACTGAACTTGATTGCAGGCATTGTCTCACATTTTTACTATATCTAATAATTTAATTTTGAACCAAATGTCTATACCCAAATCAAATAATTGGATTATTGCTATCATATTTCAAATTAAATAAGCAGGTCTCCTTTACAAATTAAAATTATTTTTGTTTTTTTTTTTTTTTAATCAAGCATTTACTACACGAGTATCCTTTACAGCAGCCAAAAATGAACGTGCAAATTACGTAAAAATTTCTCAATTGACAAACATGAATATTCTCTTCTGTGGCTCACCATTGCTGAAAGCTACGTCTTCACCCAAAACAACTCCAAAAAGACTATAACATTGATTATATTATTTATACATATATGTATTAATTTACACTTTGAGATTTGAGGTTGTATTAATTTACAAATTCTGCCGTTTTGAAAAAAAAAAAAAATTGAGGTTGTAATAAATTAATAACAAAATTACAAAAAAAAAAAATAAAATAAAAATTAAATTGATGAATTTAAGAGCAAGTGGGGTGGAACATAATGTCGTTTCCTAAGACATAGTTGTACACATTTTTTTTTTTTCTACAAGTTGGAGTGCGCATAAAAGGATAATGCAAAATATACCAAAAAAAAAAAATAATGAAATAAATAAATAAATGAGCAAATGGCTCAACCGCCCCAAAAATAAAGGCTAAATTTAATGATCAACTTGGAAAAAAGAAGTACAAAACAAACCTCAACCATGAGATTATTTTATTTCGCACTTTGTATTTGATAATTCCATGATTTTGGGTTTTTTTGTCTGGCCTGTCACTACATTTGAAGTTACGTTCGACTAATCTGTTGGTCAATTCAGATTGCACACCTGGCAGTGGTAGGTAAGTCTCTGAACAAAATTTTTTTACATCTACAAAGACTCGAACGCAAAACTTTGTTTAAGCGATATCAAGTTGTCATATCTCTATAAGACTATAACACTTTAAATATTTAATCAAAAGTTGAAATTTCGACATCCAATTGGTTAATTTTATTCGTTATGGGACTAATATCGAATAACTGAATTATAATAAAACTACTTGCATACAATTCTTTTTTACTTTTGCATAAATCCAAATTTTTTGTTGGTTTATTTTAAAGTAGTCCAACGAGATAATAGATATGTAGCTTCAAATGATCGTTGAGTTATTTTCACAATAATCATAACTAATATCATAATTTAAATATGATCCATCGGAAAAATAATTATGTGCTTTGCCAATAGGTGGTCGTATTCCTCCAATTAAATGGTACTAAACTCACTATTGAAAGATTTATTCTTGGCAACGAGTTCAAAATAAAATATTGAAGATACATATTTGCAAGCATATGTAATAAAAGGGAAGTTCTTTTATTTATAATTATATTTTTTTATATAATTTGGATATGTATATGTTTTATATATATTTGGAAATGATATGCATGATCTTGTTAAGTTAATTAATTAGGACATTGGACGTGCATGGTCTCTGAAAAGATATGCATGAAGGAAGGATCATCGAAGAGAGAAAGGAGAAGATCACTTACCATGTTTCAACCGCAATAATAGGAGGAAATCAAAAAGGAAGGAAACTTACTTGGAGAAGACTTCATGCAGTCGAATATGCACCCTACTCGAAAATCAATTAAAAGTTGTTGTAATAATCGAGTTTATCATTCATCAGATTCAATTGAGAGTTCGAGTTTTGTTCTTCATTTTAGTTTATTGTTATGAGATTTGATGTTCTTTCAACGTCAAAGAAACCGAACCGTGTTTGTTTTAGTTTTTCGTATTTTATTCGAACACTTTGTTTCTGATACTTAGGGATTAAGTACTGAGTTTTACTCGAGGGATTCGAGTTTACAGGCCACAGACGTGGCCAGAGATGTAGTTGGTAGTTTCAAGTGTAGTTGTGGCTAGGCTAGAAGGAATTTCTAGTTTTGTAAGTCCAAAATATACACGAGTGCACAATCGATTTATCAATGAAAGTTCTCTGACTGCACAATCGATTTATCAATGAAAGATCTTTAAGGGGTGGTATGACGCTCCCCGAAGAATTTATATCTCTTGTTTTGTGCTTCCGCTATTTCAACATTTTATGGTGTTGCAACATTATTTTAATATATCAAACAATTCGTGTTCTAACACAGTTGAGCGCACTCTACGGATAATACCTATGTTTCAACTATATTATGTTTTTTTTGGGGGGGTACAACTATATTATGTTTTTATTACAAAAATAGGCCTTTTAGTTTATCAAAACACTTGACAAAGTTTCGTTTGTAAATAAATACATGTTTCTAAATTATTGTACATTGTATTGTGAATTTGTACTTTTTGTTGATTAGACTCGCACAAAGTCGAGCACTACTATATGCTTCGGGTCGACTCCAACAGAACTAAAAAATAGTTCAATATAGGGTGTGCAATCTTCTAAAATTAAATGTAAATATAAAAAATGGTTAAAATAAAAAGTGAAGGTGCTTTTTTATTGTTGCATTGACATATTTCTATTTTATTTTATTTGTTACTTACTAAGCAAAAACTCTTTTAAATTCGGATCAGCATGATTTGACTCCCTAAAAGCCGATTGAACCCATATTAATAGAAGTTAATAAAAAAAATTATAATAATAGTTAATCATCCACAAAAATCATGCTTCCACCAATTTCATTACATCATTTTTGAGGTCATTAAGCTTTAAGTAGGATTAAGTGGGTTGATATATTCCATCATTAAGCTTTAATTTTACAAGTCCACACACACAAAGGAGATTCAACCCCCATTTCCATTCCACATATTGCTTGTCATTTTCTATGGGGAATTTTGACTATTTTGAAAGATTTAGATATGATGAAATTTGGAAGTCGTAAATGCTTAGATAATTAATAGACAAGATTATAATTCTAATTTAGAAGGATTAGTTTTAACAACTAAAGTTGTAAATGAACATAGCTCGAGCACATTACACATGAGTTTCGACTTACCCTTATGAAGCCAAGTTGCTAAGTTAATGAGTTATTGAACGAGCTTGAGTTCGAATTGCATTGAAAGATAAATATTCAAAAAAAAAATCAGGTAAAAATTCCTATTTAGCAAGCATACGAGCGTTAAACAAGCCGAAGCTCAGTTAATTTATCAAACATGTCGAGGAGAGCTCAAGCGAAGCACCACGAACAAAATTTTAATCCCTTACACATTCGGAGGGAACTAATCATAAAGCCTTGGCAATAGTCTTTCTGGATCTGAAAAATCCTAGAATTTCCAAGTTATATTCAAAACATCAACATATCATTCACAAATTGACTAAACACATGCACCAAATTCCCATAACTTAATATATAGCAAAATAATCAGAGAAATACTCAAAAACTCCAAATGGTAACATCACATTTTCACCAAAAAAAACAGATCCTGAAGTCTCTGCAGGAAATAATAACTAGTTCATTCAGGTGAAAGTCACATCAACATATAAAAAACGCATAAATCCACCAGATTATAACAATTTAAAACTACCTCAAACCATCGATAGCAGCAAAACAAACTTCTAAGCAGTTGCACCCTGTGCTGCAAGCCTCTTCCTAGCTTCCTCAATGATGGACAGCTTTATACCCTTACCCTTAGGAAGAGATACCCACGGCTTTGTACCCTTTCCAATAGTGAACACATTGCCCAGACGAGTGGCAAACTCATGCCCAGT